CTCACCTCAGCCTCCCAAAGGCGCGGGATTACAGGCTGAGCCACCGAGCCCGGCTTAATGGTTTGACTTTTTGTGGACATGAGGTCTTGCTATGTTATCCGGGCTGGTTTCCAACTCCTGGGCTCAGGCAATCCTCTCACCTCAGTCTCCCAAAGTGCTGGGCCACCATGCCCAGTGTTTACTGTTTTATTTTTATTTTTTTATTTTTTTAATTTTGGAGTCAAAGTCTCACTCTGTTGCCCAGGCTGGAGTGCAGTGGCATACTCATGGTCACTGCAGCCTCGACCTGCTGGGTTCGGGTGATGCTTCTGCCTCAGCCTTCTAAGTAACTGGAACTACAGGTGTGTGCTACCATGCCTGGTATTTTTTTTTGGGGGGGGGGAGTAGAGTCTAGGTCTCACCAAGTTGCCCAGACTGATCTCAAACCCCTGAGCTCAGGAAATCCTCTCGTCTCAGCCTCCCAAAGTGCTGGGATTACAGGCATGAGCCACCATGCTGAGTCCATGTCAGTATTTAAAAGTGTTCTTTTTCTTCCTCCCTCCCTTGCAACGCCCTTCCCAAGGTTCAAAGCCAGCTCCCATGGGTCCTGTGTATCCTACTTTCAGCCTTACAACTAGGGTTGCTTCCAAGAGTCTGTATTTGTCATCTCTCAAGTTTCCTCACCAGCCTTGCCAGCGTTGACATCCCTTTCTCACTGTGGATACCAGAACTCCAAGTCTCACAGAATTTATAGTTCTTGGTGATCCAGGCTAGACATATAAGATGGGAGACAGCAAGATCTATTTACTGGTTGAGATTTCAAAATTTCGTCACCATTAAGGGACAAATGTATCTGAGGGAAAGAGCGAGGTCTTTATTAGAAATGTTGTTCAATCCCAGCACTTTGGGAGGCTAAAGTGAGAGAATTGACCGAGCCCACAGGTTCGAGACCAGCCCAGGCAAATTGACAAGAACTCATCTCTACAATAAACCAGAAAGAAAGAAAGAAAGAAATGACGTTCAGAGTCTAGGCGCAGTGGCTCATGCCTACGATCCTAGAATTTTGGGAGGCTGAGGTGAGAGGATTGCCTGAGCCCACAGGTTCGAGACCAACCTGGGCAACTTGGCGAGACTTCATCTCTACAATAAATCAAAAAATTAGTTGGGCATGGTGGCACATGCCTGTAGTTCCAGCTACTTGGAAGGCTGAGGCGGAAGGATCACCTGAGCCCAGAAGGTCAAGGCTGCGGTGGCTGGGAGCGTGCCAGTGCCATCCAGTCTAAGTGACAGAGTGAGACTCCTACTCAAAAAAAAAAAATATTATTCAGTCCAGCTAGCTATTTTGTTTTCAAATAGTCTTAGCACCATGGCTCATGCCTCTAATCCCAGCAATTTGGGAGTCCAAAGCAGGAGGACTGCTTGAGCCCAAGAGTTTGAGACCAGCCTGTAAAACATGGTGAAATTTCATTTCTACAAAAGTATTTAAAAAGTAGCCAGGCACAGTGGCACATGCCTGTAGTCCCAGCTACCATGGGAAGCTGAGGCAGAGGTGGCCATGATTATGCTACTGCACTGTAGCCTGGGTGACAGAGTGAGACTCTGACTCAAAATAAGAAATAAATAAATAATTGACTCTAATTAATGTTTTGAAAATGTGAAACACTGCCTCAAAATAATAAATAAATAAACAAAGAAATATTGACTCTAATTATATGCTTTGACTCCCTGTCTGACCATGGGCCAGAGGACTTAAGTATAACTAAAAAGAGCAACAAAGTAACTCAGATTCATGGAACGACTGACTGGAACCCTGATCCAACCAGTATAGAATACAATAGAACTGTCACTTCCTATGTTCTCATCCAGAAAGTATATTCCTAGGCCTGGCACGGTGGCTCACACCTATAATCCCAGCACTTTGGGAGACCGAGGTGAGAGGATTGTCTGAGCCCAAAGGTTTGAGACCAGCCTAGGCAACTTGGCGAGACCTCATCTCTACAATATATCAAAAAACTAGCCGGGCATGGTGGCATGTGCCTGTAGTTCCAGCTACTTGGAAGGTTGAGGCAGAAGGATCCCCTGAGCCCAGCAGGTCCAGGCTGCCGTGGCTGTGTGAATGTGTCACTGCCCTCCAGCCTGGGTGACAGAGCAAGACTCCGACTCAAAAAAAAAGTATATTCCTGCTAATGTCATCTAATAGCCAGAACAGTATTTGTTTGAATGTCTGAATGTTCCCTAGATTTTTAAAAATAATTTCAGAATTTATTTCTAACTTCTAGTAGGGAGGTATAGCTACTAAAATATATTTGGCCAAAGAAGGGGCTTCCAGATGATTCTCATAGAGCAGATTATATATTTTATTATTAAACAAAGCTATATTATAGCTATGCCCAGGCGCCCTTCTCTCTTTTTTTTGTTTTTTTTTTTTTTGAGTTGGAGTCTCACTCTGTCACCCAGACTGGAGTGGAGTGGACGCTCCCGGCCTCTGCAGCCACGACCTGCTGGGCTCCGGCGATCCTTCCACCTCAGCCTTCCGAGTAGCTGGAATTACAGGCGCGTGCTACCACGTCCGGTTAATTTGTTGATTTATTGCAGAGATGAGGTCTCGCCAAGTTGCCCAGGCGGGTCTCAAACCCATGGGCTCAGGCAATCCACTCACCTCAGCCTCCCAAGGTGTGGGATTACAGGCTGAGCCACCGAGCCCGGCTTCTCTCTTTATTGACATGAACTCACAAACTCTTCATGAGAAGTAGGTCTCATTGCCATTGCTTACAAACGGGGAGATTGAGGCTACCCTAACTGGCCAAGGACACAAAACAGTGGGTAGAAGAGCTAGGATTTCAACCTGGGTTCTCACGCTCCAGAATCTGTATAGGCTGGAGTTCAGTGGCATGATCACAGCTCACTGCAGCCTCGACTTCCTGGGCTCGGGTGAGTCTTCCACTCCAGCCTCCCAAGTAGCAGGTACTACGGGCACACGCCACCATGCCCAGATAATTTTTTTTTTGTAGAGATAAGATCTAGGCCTGGCGCAGTGGCTTACACCTATAATCCCAGCACTTTGGGAGGTTGAGGTGAGAGGATTGCCTGAGCCCACTGGGCAACTTGGGGAGACCTTTACTAAAATAAATAAATAAATAAATAAATAAATAAATAAATAAATAAATAAAATTAGCTGGGTGTGGTGGCGCATGCCTGTAGTTCCAGCTACTCAAAATGCTGAGGCGGAAGTTTTGCCTGAGCCCAGCAGGTCGAGGGTGTGGTGGCCATGACCTTTTCACTCCAGCCTGGGTGAGAGAGTGAGACTCTGACTCAAAAAAAAACAACAAAAAAAGATCTTGCTATATTTTTCAGGCTGCTCTTGAACTACTAGGCTCAAGTAGTCCTCCCGTCTCAGCCTCCCAAAGTTCTGGAATAATAGGTGTGAGCCACTATGCCCAGCCCAGATTTCCCTATATTTTCTAAAGATTGCCACTCTGATGCCGGGCTCGGTGGCTCAATCTGTAAT